TACTTTTATGAAAGAAGCTTTATCGTGGACCAAGGAACTTTTGTCCAATTAAAAGAGGATGGGGATGGGGGTGGGGGCAGGGTATGGAGGGGCGGCCTGGGCATGGGGACATATAGGACCTGGGTTCTCGGACTGGAAAACACTCAGAGTCCTGGTAACTGTGTCAGATTCATGGTTTGGTGTACTCCTTTGTGCCATAAAAAGCTGGTCCCAGAGCCTGACTGTGTAGTCATCTGGTGTAGTATAAATCAGGAACATCACCATTTCAGTCAAAGGGCCCAGTTCTGCTCCCAGCCACCTTGGTGTAAAGTGGAACTGACTCTATGGAAACCAGGGGGATTATTGGGTATAAAGCCAAGAGAATTAGGCCCAGGGGTTTCTGAAGCTCTCTTTCACTCCTGTCTCATTCCTTTTTCCCTCCCCCCCACTTAGGGTCTGAACACTTCCCATTGCTGGTCTTATTAACTGTCTTCTTCTTTGTGTGTATGAAAAGGGGGAAAGGATGGATCTTCCCTGTAGCTCTGAAAGCAGCAAGGTTATCAGTCATTCCTATGCTGTCAGTGGTGGTTGTGGGGACAAAGGAGGGGTGGTGACCTTTTGTGATTCTCTTGAAGGGAAGCAAAATCTGGGAGAGACTAGACTGAGTCACAACACGATGAAGCTGGGAACAAAGATTTTGGTGGGGTTATTTCTTTCCTGGAGATTGTTGGGTTTTTGTGGTGCCAGTGTGAACCAGAAGGGATGATAATGGGGCTGTGGTGAAATAGGCAGCAAATACACAACTTTCAAGCCCAGAGGGACAAGTGTGATCCTCAGCCGAGCATGGGGATCCTTCTCCCTGGAAATTGTCCCAGTTGTGCAGAACTGGGTGTTGGTATGTTCAGGTCTCTCATCCTTCACCAGCAGGGAGGGTGTGCATGTGAGGAGCCTTCCCCCTAAATAACCCAGGAGCAGTGGAGGCAGCCTTTCTGATGGAAATTAAATAAAGAAACATTTTTTCTTTAACACATCAGGCCCAGAAGCATGTAGTTGGTCCTTTGTTACCAGCAAATCTCCACTGAGCATAAGCCAAGTAGTCACATGAGTTGTCTGTCCTTAATATGCATATGGAGCCCTCTATTATGTAGCTCTGAGCTGGTTAGGAAATGATTTTCTCTCTGTGAAAAAATTTAATGAACACAAAACTGTTTGTTTTCATTCCGTTTTCATCAAACACTGAAAATTATGGACAATTTTCATAAAAGCTGTGGTTTTGTTGGGAAAATATTTCAATGGAAAATGTCCAACTGTGTCTAATCTAGGAGCTCTGATTCTTTTTCCTTTCTGTTGGGATGGTTTTGGCAGGGATGATTCTGTCTTGAGCTCTGGGTTGGACTAGATGACATCCTGAAGTCCCTTCTAGCCCTGTATATTGTCAATGATTCTGTATCCTATGTGATTTTGATGCTGCCTTTTTGTCTGTGGAGCTCATGGATTCAGCAGAGTGACTGTGGACTTGCATCAAGATGACAACAGGATTAGTGCCCAGGTCTCATATGGAAATAAGAGTTACAGTTTCACAACAGTCATAATATGGCATTTCATCTTGATCAGCCTTATGGGAAAATGCCGGGCTCTTACATAAGCAAGGGAAGCCTGCAATTAGTTTATAAAGGAGTGGGTGTTTGTCTTCTCATTACTGTGACTGTGTCATATTAATAATGTGGCACCAGGAAAGCGTATGATAGGAGTCAGCCTGGGTGACGTCTCTGCAGAGGTGAAGAACACATGAAGGAGGGAAAGGGTGCAGAGAGAAGGGAGGAAGCATGAGATGTGTTTGTATGTAGAAGCGCATCTAATACAGAAGAGGACATCATTATGTTACTATTATAGATGCACCAGTCAGAATCATTCCTTTCCTGTACGTCTCACACTCTACAGCCAGGTCCATCCAGAGCCTGGTTCAAGTGTAAATTAGGGCAAATTTGCCCTTTTCATTTTGTTTCAGTCAGTCAATCTTGGAATCTGTTCAGCAGCCCAGAAGCTGGCATCAGACTCATATAGAAGAGAGACTTGTTAGTGGACTATTTGGGTATTCAGAAGCAGAGTTGGTAAGATCAGGTCTGTGAAATACAGCCTCATTTTGTACTGTTGGATGTATGTTATTCCTTATACTGCAGTGAAAACAACACATACAGCAATTAGGAAAAGCCATTATTCCACTAGAGGTTTGGATGGTACCAGAACCACAGGAGCAGAATTCCTCCTGGGCTGAGTGGCTGTCTATTTGGGAGATGCTTCAGCAATACTACGGTCTCAGCTGTAATAAGGTGTGTGGACTGTGAGCTGCTGGTGACTCTAGGGTTCAGCATTGCTATCACAGAGGCCCTGAAGAATCCTAGCACTTGCCTCTCTGTGTGTGTGCATGTGTGTGTGCATGCATGCATGCGTGCTGTGACTCCAGATGTCTACAGCTGTGTGTGTGTGTGTGTGTGTGTGTGTGTGTGTGAGAAATCCCCCTCCCCTGTGTGGGCCTCAGAACTGTCTCCTCTTATGGGTGGGGAAAATGTCTCACTTGAAAACTGGTTCATGCACTGACCAACAGTTCTGTTGAAGGGGCTTCCATAGAGTAAGGAGGGAGGTCTAGCCTTCCACAGAAGCTGGGGGGCTAAGTATGACTGGGTTGTGTCTGTGTGCTCGGCAGAGCCAGCTACGTGCAAGACAACTCTGCTAACCGCGTCAACAGCTAGGTTCAGTACGTGGGAAAACAGGGTGGCATTTTACTTCTTTATGTAGATTTGGTTCTTAATCACACTCCAAAGAGAAACTCCATACAAAGCTCTGGGCCCCTTGACTCACAAGAGCAAAGATTTTACAAAGTGAGCAATGAAAAAAGTAGACACTGCCTTTATTTTTCCCAGCCCACCACAGAGTAGCTGGTCACCAGTCTTGTGCCTATGTTATACGTTTACACTCTCGCTCTTCCACCATCTCAGCCCTGGGCCAGTTTCTAGTCCGTGACAGGTTCAGAAGGTCAGTAAATTCAGTTGTTTGAAACTCCTTAGGCTGTGATCACCTCTCTTCTCCAGTGCTACCCCTGTCATTTGCTATTTTTTTGTTCCATGAGATGAAGATGTCTTCATAGCAAATGTTTCCTTTTCACATGGTGACTCCCAGACAAGTCAAATGATGACCCATCATCAAGAATAGCTAATTGTCATGTCAAGACTAACAGGGCTGCAGTGGTGGGTGCTGCTGTAAGGGGATATTCAGAAATCATGGAAGCAGTACAGGCAGTTCCATAGACAAGGCTCAATTCTGTACAAAGTTGCACTGGTGTATGTCTGCAAAATCTCCATTACAAGTATGTTCCCTACATAGATTCATAGATGTTAGGGTCGGAAGGGACCTCAATAGATCATCGAGTCCGACCCCCTGCATAGGCAGGGAAGAGTGCTGGGTCTAGATGACACCAGCTAGATGCCTATCTAACCTCCTCTTGAAGACCCCCAGGGTAGGGGAGAGCACCACCTCCCTTGGGAGCCCGTTCCAGACCTTGGCCACTCGAACTGTGAAGAAGTTCTTCCTAATGTGTTTGTAGTAGTTGGTTAACAGGATGCAGTCAGTGCTGCCATGACGCGTCATGGATGAATCTTCAGGCCAAATATCTTGTTCTTATTTCCAATGCGGAAAATCAACAACTCACTTTTATTGGGATCTACGTACTGAGCCTCAAGCACTAACACCAGGAGGACTTTTGGATGGAGCCTTCATAAACAATGAACTGGATTCTGATCTCTTTTATACCCATGTGAAATCCACTGAAAATCTTACCATAAGGGAGGTGGATTCAAGTCTGGAGTTTCTGTCTTATCTAGACATATTTTCTGGTACTTCTCATAAGAGTAGGGGTTTGTCCTGGCGTCTTCCTGGAAAGTCTTCACTTCCTCTGTTGTGCAGCCTGCTGTTTCCAAGTTGACTGCCATCCTCCATACCATAGTGGCTGCATTTTCAAGATGCTTCCTGTCTACAATTCGCAAAGTGCTTTGGGGTGCATATCAACATATAAATGAGCAATATTAATTGCTGTTGTCACTGAAATAGGAGTTTTCTAAACAATACTCCAGCCAGGGAGAGCGTCCATAATTCCATATGGATGTGCTGCTGCTGAGATATCGAATTCTCTGGAGTGAAGGAGTCCAAAGAAGCAACGCAACCTCTGCATCAGTCCTAGCATAGTTGCTTCATAGAAACTGGTCTACACCACACCCTTTTGTTGCCACTAGATGGTGCCCAATTCACAATTTAGCAAGGAAGCTTTCTCCAATCCCTGCTCTAACAGTGCAGCCTTCTCAGGTGGAAACAATGCGGTGCCTGCTCAGATTAAAGCAAAGGGCTGGATGCCGAGGATTGTGCAAGGGAGCTCCCAGGATGGGATGGAGCTGGATCCTGTAACCTTTGCATCCCTAGATGTGATCAGGAGCCCCACTGGGATCTCAGTGCTGTGCCGACTTTTGACTGCGGAGCATTGCCAGAGGACAGCAAGTAGCTGGAAGTGCTGAGCGCTGGCAGGGAGATGTCAGGCATTTGACTCCAGATGAGGTGAGGCTATTGGGAGGATAAAGTGGGGGTGATGAAGGATCCCATGAGCAGGAATCGAGGTCTCCCCCACCTTGCCCAGCAGTGGATTTGTCTTCTCCGAGGAGAGATGGACGGAGAGAAGTGCTGCTATTAGCTACCACCTGCCTCCAAAATGTGAATAACAATAATAATAACAACAACAAAATCCCACCAGTGCACACAGTTCAGTTGCTCTCCCTCTGCTGAAAGGTTGTTCATCGAGAGCAGACAAAGGTTTGCCAGGGAGGGCTTCCCCTTGGAAGAGGAAGAGACCACCTCCACAAGAAGACCTGTAGTCCCTTGCTGTGAACTTGGATCGGTTGGGGTTATTTTGGTACTGCCCCGTGCACAAATCCTTCTCATCCAGCCAACCATGAGCTTCGAAGAGTGGCAGCGTGTGGCAGTTTAAAGTGTCAGGTTGCTTCTTTTTCCTTTTCTTTGCTAAGTTTGAACAATGATCACTGTCAATTCGGATGGAAAAATAATGGTCAGAAGATGTCTCGTCACCTTGAGACCTTTTAGGTAAAGTTACTTTTATTGCCCTATTTCCTGTTTTCTCTCTGTCTTTTCAACCTAGCCTGCTTTTAGCACCAGGGGATCAGAATCTAAGAAGTCTTCTAAGACTAAAATCTTGTGTCAGTTGCTGTTTTCCAGGGGAATCGATCCCAGATTAAAATGTCAAGAATCCAAGTAAGTGTGTCTTTAGGTCAGTGTGATGGGAGCTGACGTGTGGCTCTGTTACATGCTGCACGTTGACTTCTAATTTATTCATTATGCTAATATCTGGTGGGTATTTGTTGCAGGTTTTTAAATGCCTTTTTGAGTGATGTTTGTACCACACTGGAGAATCAATACATACAAATTAGAAGCTAGCTTTGACTCTCAGTGATAGTGGTGCAAATCCACTGATATTTATGGGTAAGCCAAGATTCACACTTCTGGCCAACAGCAGAATTTGGTCCTAAGTCAGACAGTAATAGCTCCCCTTCCCATTTGTATTTGTGCATTTCCACCTACGGTTCCCTGCAACAACTAGAAAGTTTTACGAGTCTTACAATTGATTTGCCTAAACCCCCTGCAATAAATCTCCCGTTTTTTGGCTCATTCATAATGTGAAGACACATTTTTCCAGTGCTTGTCTGCTTGCTTATTTTGGAGGAAGTACAGCTCATTCACTTTCTGCCAACAAAGGGCACTGATTTGACTCTTATTTGTATGTGTTTTTTGGGGGGAGAGGAATTTGCAAAAACAGGCCAGGATTGAGGGACAACAGGAGTGAAGCAAACTCATCTCAGAAGTTACTAGTTGCCCAAGTAGTAGAAAGGAGTCTATGGAGTGTTTTTTAGGAACTGGGGAATCCTGGGTTTTTAACTTGGCCAGGTTTGGTCAGAGCTGTCTCTTTCTCTGATGGCATAAGCTTGAAGAATTCTAGCTGATGATATTTCTTCTGTCTGGTCTGTCTCCATGACTGGAGTACTTCTTGAGCACATAATGATCTTCAATGGATTTATCCTCACAACACCCCTGGTCAGGTGGGGTGGTGGTAGTAACTTCATTGTACAGATGGAGATTGAGGCTAATAGAGGCACTAAAGGCCATAGTCACAAAGGTATTTAGGAGTCTAACTCCCTATTGAAATCCATGCGAATTTAGGTGCCTAAATACCTTTGCGAATCTGGATGTGACTTGCCCAAGGTGGCACAGGAAGTCTGTGGCAGTGTAGGGGAAACTGAACCCAGGTTTCCCAGCACTAGTGCTCTAACTACTGAACCATCCTTCTGCATCCTCTAGGTAAGCTGGGGTGCAGGGAAGTAATTCTGGTTGGAAGTAGGTCACTGAGGGGCAGCGTCTCCGCACTAGCTCGGCAGGGACTTTGGCTGCAATTGCACCGCAAAGAGGTTGAGGGGTAATGAATGGAGGGAAAGGGTGAGCCAGCAAGGCTGGTCTGTGGGGCCGATGTCTATTGGGAGCAGAACTAGCTACCTGCAGTGACAACTTAGGGAAGAGACAGGTACATACCTGAAGCTGGGCAGCTGTGGGTGTATGGATTGAGTGGTGGGAGCCATTCCTTCTTCAGTGGTCCTCACCCTGGGGAAGTCCTGACTCCTCTGAAGCACCTAGAAGAACTCCAATAAGCTTAATGGGCAATTTGTGTACCCCTGGGTTGGGTTGGGGCAGGCTGGGGCACAGACTTATCCAGGAAGCAAGGGGCGAGCAAGGGACTGTAATTGTAGCAATGCACCCGCTGTGCCAGTTGTCATACACTATACACAGGCATCTCCTAGAGCTGTCACTTTTTCTCATGATGAATGACACTCAGTTTAACAGAAGAGCAGACTCCGTGTTGCTGTGCTGGGCTTGGGGGCTGCCTTCCACAGGGGAGCATGCCCAGTGCAGCTTCGAGAGGGCCTATTTGCTGATCTTCATGACTATGCTTATTAAACACCAAGATGAAGTTATCAGCAGATGCTTGCCTGTTGGGAGAGAGAATCCTGGAGTGGTAAAATCTTATTTCCAGCTGCATCCCAGGAGCTAGGCTTGCATAGGACAAACAGCAGAGAGGCACAGGGCACGGGCAAAATCTGATTAAAATAAGGCTGGGGAGTCTGACCGGAGTAAACCCATGAGAGAGCGATGCGGTGATGGTGAAAGGTGATCAGATGGGAACACCAGCGACAAAGTCCTAAACAGAATTAGGGACTTGGCAATAATCCCTGTGTACCTGGGACCTGATTCTGCTGTCAAACTTGTATAAATAAGGAACCACTCCATTGAACCAGAAAGGCCTACACTGCTGCTGTTCTGTTTTAAGTGAGAGCCAAATTGGATCTTTTCCTACATCTGAGTGTGAAACAAAATACAAAATCTCAAGGAAAATAGAATAGGAATGTGTCTGGGATTGACAAGGTAACTCGGGGTTCCCTCTCACAACATTTAAGCAATTCAGTGACCAGTAATTTTTGATGGTTCAACTTGTTAATGGTGTTATGTTGGGATGTTTTAATGTGCAGGAGCTGCAAGGCTAGTATGGCCAGGGAACTGTGCTCAAGTGTCCCCCACAGATCCCTGACTTGTAGTGATCACAGCTTTTCTAAACTTTCCCACCCGCCCAGCTCTGCTGAGGCACTTCACAACTTCATCTGTCATTCCCCGACCCCACCTATCCTAGTCCTTTAGTTTCCACCTCAACTGGTTGTCCGTATCTTGATCTGTAATTTTCCCTTATTCCCTCCCCCCCACCCTTTTTTTTTTTCTTTTTCTAATCTCCACTGATCTGCCAGTGAGGTCCAGTCCTGATCTACAGCAAGCCCTTTTGTCCTGTGTACTTTTAGCACCTAGGTCCTCCAGCTGTAGACCACAATATGGCTGTCCCACAGTCTCTGGTCTGTGGCTGCCTAAATTTGTTGAGTACAGACACAAAGCAGTGCAAATTAGAACAGGTCCTTTGAAGTCAATAGAACAGATCTTCAGCTGGTATAA